CACATTTCAGACATTTTACAATACAGGGAGTGCAGAATTATTAGGCAAGTTGTATTTTTGAGGATTAATTTTATTATTGAACAACAACTCATTAATATCAAAGCTGAATATTTTTGGAAGTAGTTTTTAGTTTGTTTTTAGTTATAGCTATGTTAGGGGGATATCTGTGTGTGCAGGTGACTATTACTGTGCATAATTATTAGGCAACTTAACAAAAAACAAATATATACCCATTTCAATTATTTATTATTACCAGTGAAACCAATATAACATCTCAACATTCACAAATATACATTTCTGACATTCAAAAACAAAACAAAAACAAATCAGTGACCAATATAGCCACCTTTCTTTGCAAGGACACTCAAAAGCCTGCCATCCATGGATTCTGTCAGTGTTTTGATCTGTTCACCATCAACATTGCGTGCAGCAGCAACCACAGCCTCCCAGACACTGTTCAGAGAGGTGTACTGTTTTCCCTCCTTGTAAATCTCACATTTGATGATGGACCACAGGTTCTCAATGGGGTTCAGATCAGGTGAACAAGGAGGCCATGTCATTAGATTTTCTTCTTTTATACCCTTTCTTGCCAGCCACGCTGTGGAGTACTTGGACGCGTGTGATGGAGCATTGTCCTGCATGAAAATCATGTTTTTCTTGAAGGATGCAGACTTCTTCCTGTACCACTGCTTGAAGAAGGTGTCTTCCAGGAACTGGCAGTAGGACTGGGAGTTGAGCTTGACTCCATCCTCAACCCGAAAAGGCCCCACAAGCTCATCTTTGATGATACCAGCCCAAACCAGTACTCCACCTCCACCTTGCTGGCGTCTGAGTCGGACTGGAGCTCTCTGCCCTTTACCAATCCAGCCACGGGCCCATCCATCTGGCCCATCAAGACTCACTCTCATTTCATCAGTCCATAAAACCTTAGAAAAATCAGTCTTGAGATATTTCTTGGCCCAGTCTTGACGTTTCAGCTTGTGTGTCTTGTTCAGTGGTGGTCGTCTTTCAGCCTTTCTTACCTTGGCCATGTCTCTGAGTATTGCACACCTTGTGCTTTTGGGCACTCCAGTGATGTTGCAGCTCTGAAATATGGCCAAACTGGTGGCAAGTGGCATCGTGGCAGCTGCACGCTTGACTTTTCTCAGTTCATGGGCAGTTATTTTGCGCCTTGGTTTTTCCACACGCTTCTTGCGACCCTGTTGACTATTTTGAATGAAACGCTTGATTGTTCGATGATCACGCTTCAGAAGCTTTGCAATTTTAAGAGTGCTGCATCCCTCTGCAAGATATCTCACTATTTTTGACTTTTCTGAGCCTGTCAAGTCCTTCTTTTGACCCATTTTGCCAAAGGAAAGGAAGTTGCCTAATAATTATGCACACCTGATATAGGGTGTTGATGTCATTAGACCACACCCCTTCTCATTACAGAGATGCACATCACCTAATATGCTTAATTGATAGTAGGCTTTCGAGCCTATACAGCTTGGAGTAAGACAACATGCATAAAGAGGATGATGTGGTAAAAATACTCATTTGCCTAATAATTCTGCACTCCCTGTATAGATTAATGTCTCCTTAAAATAACTTATTTAACAATTCATTGTGTTTAAAATAAGTCCTTATACAGAAGATGTCAATGTATTATTACATAGTTACAGTTAAATAGTTACATAGTTACCTAGCTGAAAAGAGACTTGCGTCCATCAAGTTCAGCCTTCCTCACATTTGTTTTTTGCTGTTGATCCAAAAGAAGGCAAAAAACCTAGTTTGAAGTACAATTTTACAACAAGCTAGGAAAAAAATTCCTTCTTGACCCCAGAATGGCAGTCAGATTTATCATTGGATCAAGCAGTTATTACCCTACATTGAAAGATTATATCCTTGAATATTCTGTTTTTGCAAGTATGCATCTAGTAGCTGTTTGAACATCTGTATGGACTCTGATAAAACCACTTCTCCAGGCAGAGAATTCCACTTCCTTATTGTTCTTACAGTAAAAAAACCCTTCCTTTGCCTTAGACGAAATCTTCTTGGCAATTCAATGATATAAAATAATATGCCAATGTACTTTATATTTGTGCAATAGATTACAGCTGCTTTCACATTACCAATTTCTTATTATCTTACTTTTATTTACTTTCTTTCGATTTTTTTTTTTCTGCCAGGAAAAAGGGTAGCGATCAATAAACCTCTTCATACAGTTAGGCACATGCCGTTATATCATGGTATTCTTATATCATAGTGTTATCTGTAAAGGGTTAATATTAAAAAAAAAAGTACTAGAAAATCTTTGTAACTAATTTAGTTTTTGCTTTTCTTCAATTAAACATGCCATGTTTTATCATTTAAATCCCTTTGTAATACTTGGCTTCTTCATTCAGGGGCTCATATCTCTATGTCTCAAAAATAAACACTTGCATAACTGAAATTTCTAAACTATAAACAATAATTACTGTGTTTGGACATAGATATCTATGTATAATGGTTGTTTTCAGAGTTATTCCACCACCGTCTGCTAAAGTAACAGGCGATTAAGGATTTAGTGCAGTTATATGTACTTTACTGTTAATGCCCTTTAGATGGCAGCAAAGAGCATTTACACAACATCTCTTTATTAAACCTGATTTGAAGTTAAGTGCTAAAGAAATTGTGATGATAAAGGCAAGGATGTGGAAGACTTACTGGTAGAAATATGCATGGAGGGAAACCTGGGATACCCATTAATAGTAGGAATATGTTACAAGCCCCCAAACATTTACCCTGATGGGGAAGAACAATTGTTACCTAAAATGAATAAAGCTGCACAATTGGGTAATTTGTTAATCGTGGGAGATTTAAATTATCCAGATATTGATTGGGCCAGAGGGCCCAGCAGCACTGTTAAGAGAAAAAGGTTTTAGAACCTGATAAATGATAAATAATGTCTTGATTAGCAGAAGAGCTAACTTGAATAGATGCTTGTCTGGATCTTGTCATACTATTATAATTATTATTATATTATTTATATAGTGCCATCAGATTCCGTAGCACTGTACAATGGGTGGACTAACAGACATGTAATTGTAACCAGACAACTGGACGTACAGGAGCAGAGAGGTGGAGGGCCTTGCTCAATGAGCTTACATTCTAGAGGGAGTGGGGTATAGTGACACAAAGGGTAAAAGTAGGGGTACGAAGTAGGTTGTTAGAAAAGTATTCACTGAGGGCTTAGTAGTTAATTTTTTACAGTTGCAGGGGAGGAGTCATGGGGAGTTGGGGATAAATACCTGCTAACAGTTTAATTGATATGCTTTCTTGAAGAAGTGATTTTTCAATGATTTTTTGAATGAGTGGAGACTGGTTGAAATTCTTACAGGGAAGGGAGTTCCACAGAAGAGATGCAGCCCTGGAGAAATCTTGGAGGCGAGCATTAGAGGCGGGAGTACAGACAGAGGATATACATAGGTTTTTGGCAGAGCGTAGGGGCCTCGACGGGACATACTTGTGTATTAGGGGGATAGGTAGGTTGGAGCAGCATTATGTAGGGACTTGTAAGCAAGCACCAGAATTTTAAATTGAGCCCTATATCTAACTAGAAGCCAATGCAGGGACTGACAGAGCAGAGGTGAGAATGGACAGGAAAATGAGCCTCGCCATTGCATTCATTATAGATTGCAACGGTGCAAACTGGGAACACATAAGACCACTGAAAAGAGTATTGCAGTAGTCCAGGCGAGAGAGAACAAGAGCATTGACCAGCGACAGGATTTGGCGATTGATTGGACATGAGGGTTCGAGTAAAAAAGAACACCCAGGCAGCAAGCCTGCGAAGGAGAGGTGATGGTAGTGCCGTTAACTTGGAGGGAGACGGACACAGGAGAAAAGACCAGAAACTCTGTTTTGGACAGGTTGAGTTTAAGGAAATGAGCGGTCATCCGGAAATCGAAGAGAGGCAGTCAGAGACACGAGTCAAGATGGGCGGAGAGAGATCAGGAGAGGACAGGTAGATTTGTGTGTCATCCTCATGGAAATGATAACTGAAGCCGAAGGAGTTGATGAGTTTACCAAGGTAATAATGTTGACTTATTTTTAAATTTACAAGTAAGAGAGCACTTGGGAAACAGTGACCATAATATGATATAATTTGAGATTAACTGAATTTCTTTTTTTTATATATATAGGCTGTACAAATGTACTTAATTTTTAAAAGGCTACATTCAACAGGATAATGGCATCTTTACAACAAATTAACTGGTAGGAATTATTTACTGGCAAAAGCACAGAAGATATATGGAATGTCTTTAAATACATTCTATAAAAGTACGTTTCTTTTTTTTTTTTTGCTGTGCATATTGTTACAGACACACTTGTCATGCCCCAAAAGCAGGTACCAAGCAGGAGAGCTTACAAAGCATATAAACACACATAGGACATTTGATAGAACTTGCACATTTTTTAAAGGGTTAATAATCAGGAGTTAACTATTGCAAGAGTAAGCTATTTTTATTTTGCTAAGAGCTTAGGTTAGACTGTGCTATGTAATGTTGCAGAAACAACAAAAAGGTAAACAGTTTATCTGTGAGTTATACTAGGTATGATGCTTATAGCTAACCAGACTGACCCTTCCTGAGTAATTATGCAATAATGCTGGACTGGATTTCTTAGAAAGCACTTCTATATATCAAACATAACATTGCAGTCCGGTATATAAGAGATTAGACTTGTGGGCAAACTGTGGAATCATAGGCTAGTGACGGTCTATCACGGAGCATATTGAAAGATGCATATATAATCATTGAGGCATATTGATTAAAGGTGAGAAACAAAAACAGAATGAGCCTAATAAACAGAGCGAGCCATTGGAACTGGTCATCTTGCCGTGATGTAGAGTGAACGCAGAGATAGTCCCTCTCAGCCTATTCCCATCAAGGGCCGTTTGTACCCCCACTGAAGCCTGAGACACAGTCCACTGCTTAACCTGAGGAGCAGCTGCAGCATTGTTGTGGTGAGGAGAATGGTTAAGCCTTGAGGTAGTGTAAGCTGTGGTTGATTGCTTTTTGTTGCGCATAGTCCCGGGTGTAGAGCCTTTGGGCCCAGGCATGTTTGGATGCTTTCTTCCTCAGTTTGATCCTGGCTCTTGCAGGGATTGCTGTCGCTCTCATCCTCATGGTGCTGGGTGACGGACGCCTATTGGAACTGCTTGTCAGCACTTGGTGTGCAGATGAATGTATCTGCTCGCTCAGCATGCTCCAGAACCTTGCGAAGAGGAGATCCAGTCTAGTGATGGTATCAGCAGTGTCTTGGTTGGGAGCTTTAGTACACGTGGTGTCCGCCAATACCAGAGAGTTCCGGATTTTAGTAGGCTTGATGTCACCACCGCGGCGGCTTGCAAGGTATGAGAGTGGGCCTCTGGGATTAGGACCGGGACACCCCTGTCGTGCTGCGTCCTCCATGGCTTGTGTAAGGTAGGCCAGATTAGTATCCCCACAGGACCCCTGTCATTGCAGGGTGTCAGTAAGGCACAAACAGCCAAGAAATGTGCACCCCAAGGGGCATAAAGCATGATAAAGTCAGTGGCTAAGCGTGGAGCTTCTGTAGAATGTGTCCAGCTACCATGCAGGTCAAGCTCCGCCACCATGCAGTACATTTCTTAATACATAACATTGGGAAACAAATATAAAAGAAGCTAATTAAAACAAATGTAACTTAATGAAAAGGTCTGTCAAATAGTAAAAGATAAGAAAAGGGCATTCAAAACATTTAAATCAGAGGGTTCCATAGCATCTTATAACAAATATAAACATGCCAACAGAGCTTGTAAAATGGCAATTAGAAGGGCTAAACACGAAAATGAGAAGCTCATATCCAAAAACATTTTTAAAGTACATTGATGCCAAAAAGGTTAAGAGTGGAAGTGTTGGTCCATTAGAATATGAGATAAGTTAATCAAAAAAGATCAGGACAATTTCCTTCAGTATATTGGAAAGAAGAGTCTATGTAGATTTGCAAATCCTACTTACAAAAGCCTTACAGCAAACAGGTGATTGTTTAACCCCTTAAGGACACATGACATGTGTGACATGTCATGATTCCCTTTTATTCCAGAAGTTTGGTCCTTAAGGGGTTAATGCAGGATAAAGTGCTACAGAAATTAAAAATGTTAACATAAACAATCCCAAGGGCCAAATGGTATTCACCCACGTGTGTTTAGGAATTTTGGTGTAGAACTATCCATACCACTGTTTTTCATTTTTCAGGATTCTTTTCTTTCAGGAATTGTACCAGATGATTGGAGAAAAGTGGATATGGTGCCTACATTTAAAAAGGAATCAAAACTTCAACTGGTAACTACAGAGCTGTAAGCTTTACATCTGTGGTTGGGAAATTATTTTGGCTGTTAAGAGATACTATTCAATAATATCATTAGCAGGAATCAGCATGGTTTTATGAAAGACAGGTCATGCCAAACTAACCTAATTGCATTCTGTGAAGACATTAGTAGAGATATAGATCAGGGTGATCCAGTAGATGTGATCGACTCTGCATTTCCTTAGGCATTTGATACAGTCCCACAAAAAAAGGTTGATATTAAAACTGAAATAAATTGCTTTAGATTAAAAATTGTGTTCTTGCATAGAACACTGGCTGAGATTAGTTGTAAATGGAACATTTTCAAATTTGGTTAGTGCCTCAGGATTCTGTCCTGGGTCCACTTCTCTTTAATCTGTTTATAACTGACTATGTATAGTCTGAACATGATATAGCTTCTCTAGAGAGGTATTTGAATAATTTGAGTGAAGGGGCAGGCATGCGGCAGATGAAATTCAATACAGGTACATGTAAAGTCAAGCATTTTGGAATATAGAAACCTCAAGCCAACAAGTTGATTTAGGGATAACATTAAATGAAAATGACTTGGATACATTTATATATTTCAAACTATGCAACAGTATGCAATGTTGGGCTGCTTACGCTATGCATGAGGACCTCCAGTGTCGCCAGAATTCCATTAGGAAAGCATTGAATAATGCTTTCCTATGGGGATGTCTAATGCGTGTGCGAGGAGTGTGGGCAGAGCCTGACCCAGCGCCTGCCAACGTCAAGGCAGACCCCCCTAAAGCAGGTCCTACACTGACCTTTCAGCCTGCTTCCTTGAGCTTCTGGCAAAGATATCTCTGATATCTCTGAGACAGAGAGGGGTATTTTTTTTATAAACTGTAATAGTTACCTTGCAGGGTTAAGTCCTCCTCTAGTGGCTGTCTATCAGACAGCCACTAGAGTGACTTCCGGGTTCTTAAAACCCAAAAAGTGTTTTAAAAGATGCTGGACATCCTATGCGTGAGGACCTCCAGTGTCGCCAGAATTCCATTAGGAAAGCATTGAATAACTTTTTATTTTCTTTGGTTTTTACTAAATATTGGGGCTGATGTGTACTGTAGTCATTGCTGCCGGCCCAGTAGTGATGGGAGTGAGCACAGGACTTATCTTTTCTATTTGTATTTACTTTGTATCACGCAGCCTTGTTACAATGCTACCGCCCATCCCATGTGTTCCCTATTAAGGGTTAATAAGTATATAGGGGTGTATATAAAAAAATACCCCTCTCTGTCGCAGAGATAACTTTGCCAGAAGCTCAAGGAAGCAGGCTGAGGGGTCAGTGTAGGACCCGCTTTAGGAGGGTCTGCCTTGACTTTGGCAGGCGGGCATTCCCTCCAATGGCCATTGGAGCAACTAAATTACCTCCATTTGTCTAAATATACATAGGGATTAAGGAGAGAGCGCAGGTAACTTTTTATTTTCTTTGGTTTTTACTATATATTTGGGCTGATGTGTACTGTAGTCATTGCTGCCGGCCCAGTAGTGATGGGAGTGAGCGCAGGACTTATCTTTTGCAATGCAGGAACCAGCAGTGCCAGGAAAACGGATATGTTTTTCTGGCACTGGAGAGTCCCTTTAAAGCAGAGAAAAGAGTTATTTACAGTAAGGATAATAAAGATATGGAATTCTCTGTCTGCATAAACAGACTATTAATTGATTTATATATATATATATAAAAGAGAAAAAGCTCTTGCACTCATGCTTAAAGTCTCTTAATGACCGGGTGCTAGCAAACCATGGCTAGTAGTATCCATCTTTGTAAATAGGTATCAGCATATACCTACTTTGATCCTGATGAAAGTCTTCTATGGAGGACTGAAACATTGATTGTTTTTAACTATGAACTAAATAAATTTTGGACTTTTAAAATTCGAGAGTGCTGATACCTATTTACAATATATATATACACAGGGGCGTTTTAGCCGAGAGGCAAACAAGGCATTTGCCTTGGGCGGCATTTTCCAGGGGGCGGCAAAAAAAGCCGCACCCCAAATGCCCTGGCCAAATGCCTTGTTAGCCTTGCGGCTAACTGACATGCTGGGCTGGGCGGGCGGCGTTGACGGGCAGCCGGCTGGCGAGGGAGCACTTCCTCTGAGCGGTCTGCTCAGCTCCCTCGCGCGCCTCAGAGTGAGTGGGTTGATGACGTCATATTCCGGCTCCCAGCCTCACTCTGAGGCGCACGAGGGAGCTGAGCAGAGTGCTCAGGGGAAGTGCTCCCCGTGTGTGTGTCTGTTAGTGTGTGTGTGTCTGTTAGTGTGTGTGTGTTTGTCTTTTAGTGTGTGTGTGTCTGTTAGTGTGTGTGTGTGTGTCTATTAGCGAGTGTCTGTTAGTGAGTGTGTGTCTGTTAGTGAGTGTGTGTCTGTTAGCGAGTGTTTGTCTGTTAGCGAGTGTTTGTCTGTTAGCGAGTGTGTGTCTGTTAGTGTGTGTGTCTGTTAGTGTGTGTGTGTGTGTCTGACTGTTAGTGTGTGTGTGTGTCTGTTAGTGAGTATGTGTGTGTGTCTGTTAGTGAGTGTGTGTGTGTGTCTGTTAGTGTGTGTGTGTCTGTTAGTGTGTGTGTGTCTGACTGTTAGTGTGTGTGTGTCTGTTAGTGAGTGTGTGCTTGCCAGTGAGTGTGTATTTCAGTGAGTGAGTGTGTTTGTTTGTGTGTGTGTGTCTGACTTTGTGTGTATGTTTGCCTGTGTGTGTCTGCTAGTGTGTGTCTGCTAGTGAGTGAGTGTGTGTCTCTGTGTGTCAGTGAGTGTGTGTTTCTGTTAGCTAGTTTATGCATATCTGTCAGTGAATGTGTGTGTGTGTATTTAGAAGGATGGATGGGGGTCACGCGCGGTTGGGGGTTGCCTGAGTTTTGTCCTGCCTAGGGCCAGTGGTGTACTGTGTGTATATATATATATATATATGTATATATATATATATATATATATATATAAATAAACAGGTTGTTGACCAAGAAGATTTTTTTACTTTTTTGTGGCATAACTGGAAATGGCTACAGTTGGGTTTTTCTGCCTTATTTTGGTTCAACCGCATCAAAGTTGAACTTAATGGACTATATAACTTTGATCACCACTGACTGACCTCCAGGTTGGTGTGCAACCTGGAACAGGTGGTGAATGTGACAATCAGTGCTTTTTGCATCGGAACCCTATACAAAGTATAGGATTAGGAATATGTACATAAAAAAATAAAGATGATATTATGAAGTACATGGGACAACACAAGTTCCCATGTTTTTTAATGTTTTAATGCTAAACAAGTGACATTTGTTACCTGTGTGTTGTCTGGCAGGTATGGGTTATGGTGATTGACAGAAAATTAGCTGACAATAATAATAATATGATGAGAATATTATTCAGATGACTTAAATTTACTATGTAGTTCAGCAGCAGTTTGCTTAAGAGAGCGAAAAACAGACAGCATATTGGACAATTACATCTGTAAGAAATATTCATATTTATAGTGTTCCTTTAATATGTTATATAAAATATTAAAATATTAACCTTAAAAAAACTGAAATCTAATTACTGCATTCAGTAAATAAATGAAATGCTGATATGTTCTTTGAGCATACTTAGCCATGTTTAAACATAAGGTGGAATCAAGCAAAGACTGTTGAGATAGTACATGGAAAATGAGAATGGGTAGGCCCAGCGGCTTTAGTAATTTGAAAAGAGCTGCTATTTGTTTTCGGAATTGGCAGTACAGCAAATGACCACTAGAGGTGTCTATACTTTACTAGCCACCAATGAGCCTAACCTTAGCAATGCAGGTGTTGATCAACCATCATGCTTAGTAAAATCATGCTTTGAGCAGCTGAAGTTGGACTGATTTAGAACTAGTCAACAATAAAGAAAATACTGTTTTCTTTGCATTGGTTACTTGATTGTCATGATAACAAATGGAATAAACTTGTTACTTAAAACTAACACATTTTCTGAGATAATATTACCCTATTTTCATTAAATCGTTATTACAGTGCCAAAAGATCAGATTAAGACTTGATTGTGTTGGAAACGTTGGGTTAAAGAGTTTTTAATTCAAACTCATCCGCAGTGTATTTTTTTTAAACAAATTTGCTGCA